GTCAAGACTATATACTGAACAATGTATTAAATTATTAATCATCATGTATTCATAAGCAGTGTGGGAAAAATTTTGAAACAAATTCATGTAGGAAACTTGGAAATGACTAAGCATCACCAAGATATCAAAATAAAACCCTCCAGGGCCTCCCCGGTGGCGCAGCGGTTGAGCGCTGGGTTGTGAAGCTGCCCGCAGCCTCTGCAGCACCGGTTCGATCCCCGGCTGCTCCCCGGCCACTGGAGGAGGGTCCCACATGGCGCGTAGACCTCTCCTGCCGCCTGCTGCTCCCCTCAGCAGTGTACTTCGGTCCTTCTGCCTGCTCTGCTCCCCGCTCTGGCTCTGGTGAATTCTCTCACCCTCCCGTGCTTCTGACTGTACCCAGTGCTTGTATAAATAAATAAATAAATAAATAAATAAATAAATAAATAAATAAATAAATAAATCTTTTTAAAAAAAAAAAAAAACTATATAAAAAATAAAACCCTCCAACAAGGACCAGTTCAAGTCAACAGAGGAAGCTGAACCAAAATGAAAGGAATAAGACTTTAACCTCCTGTGCCAGCACAAAAAGGATGTGTACCAGTTTAATGCCATTACATAGGACTGATTTTTTATTGGTTTCCTTACATACAAAGTATACAAGAAATAGAAGCTATAATCAGCCCAACACATCTTTGCTCCATCACCTTATTTTCATCAAGTAACATTTTGTAGGCAACCACAAAACACTATGCCAAGAACACCTAACCCGTCTGCCAAAACATGGGAAAGACAGTTTATATCAGTTATCTCTGATCTTCATGATAACGCTCCAAAGCAGGTAATGTAATCTCTATACCACAAATAAGCATATTCTGCTCGGACCAAACCTATCAATTGTTAAATTTAGGCGAATACTGAATCAAATGTGGTACATGAGACACATGCTTTTCTTTCAGAAAACAAGGTCATCATAGCTAAATCAAAGGATGTACCCAGCCAGATGTCCTTCCGTTGTCGTAAATCACCAAGATCAAAGTAACGCCGGACTTCTTTTAAAAATAAATGTTTGGGGCCTCTCCAGTGGCGCAGTGGTTGAGCGCTGGTTGCGAAGCTGCCCGCAGCCTCTGCAGCGACGGTTCGATCCCCGGCTGCTCCCCGGCCACCGGAGGAGGGTCCCGCATGGCGCGCAGACCTCTCCTGCCGCCCGCTGCTCCCCTCAGCAGTGTACTTCGGTCCTTCTGCCTGCTCTGCTCCCCGCTCTGCCTGCTCTGCTCCCCGCTCTGGCTCTGGTGAATTCTCTCACCCTCCCGCGCTTCTGACTGTACCCAGTGCTTGTATAAATAAATAAATAAATAAATCTTTAAAAAAAAAAATAAATAAATAAAAATAAATGTTTGGAAAATTTTAAATTACTTAACTCCCGCAAAGTGTCCATAAAAATGAAAACTATGGTAAACTAAATTTTCTAATTACTACCAGGTGTACGTATTCTTCACTTCGAGACTGTTACACCTGAATTCCTTCCACCAGCCCTCGAAGACTTGGTCCCCTCCCCGAGAATCTATAAACTGTAACAAAATTCACATTTGCCACATCCTGTGGTCAGAGGGACAAATTGCAGTGTGAATTGAATTCATGGGACTTAGTGACAGCAAGAAAGTACGGTAAAGTTCATTTGCTCAGCTTCCAGGTGATAAGCCCGGAGAGGCGAGGAAGAGACGAAAACGTTCCCCCTCTGCAAGCACTCACCTATTGCCGGGTGTCTTTTCTTGGGGTTCCGCTCCCCCGAAATCCACTGGGGGCACATCTGTAGATTCCGCTGGCTTTGGAGCAGAGGCTACGGAAGGCTCTGGCGGCCTGGAAGTCTCTGGTCCACGCTGGGGATTGGGGGCGGTGGAGCCCCTAGAGCCTACGCCAGGCCTGACATTCGGCTTCACGCTAAGGCGTGCCCTACGGAACATGGCGGAGCCAGGGGGCCCGGGGAGGCGGCCCTACAGCCGCTCTCAGCCCCGAGCCCCGGCCACTGCCCCAAGAGAGAGTACGAACTACGCCCTTCCCACAAAGCCAAACCACCAGCCCAGCGGGCAGCTACCGCAATTTCGCGCCCCCACCACCTCCTCCTTCCTCCCGCCGCCGCCTCTTCTTCATGACCCTGCTACTGTAATAGCTAAATTTCCCCCCCCACACCTTGCTCCCCCGCCCTCGGAGAGCGCCGGAACTTAACGTCATCAGTCGGCGCCGTGAATTTACGTAAGACGCACAGAGCCCGGAGCCATGGCAACTGTCAAGCTACCTGACCTGAGTTACTTGTGAACCGGAAACTGAGAGTCAAAGGGATGTGCTGCTACCTTCACCAGCGTCCTGAGGACTTGAAAAGTGGCGGAAGGAGGTAGTGAAGCCCTCTGCCCAAACCTTTACGGGAACTATTAAAATCGCTGACGATTCGGTTTTTAGAGGGTCTTGTGGAGCAGTGCGTGTTCACTACCACATCCCTAGGGCTTAGAAATTCTAAATTAAGTAAAATGTAGATTGGAAATTCAGATGTGAAGAAATTACTAATTACCACCTATAAGGGGAACTGGATTCTGGGAAGCATGTCGTGGGAGGTAAACCGTTTACAGCATATCCTTGTGCACTCTCTGCAGGCGAATTTATCACCTATTCAAAAATTATTATAGTTAAAACTAATGTGATTATACTTAATCTGCTTCACGGGGTAACAATAGAACAATAAACAGGGTGTTCTGGGTTGGAGAGAGTAAAACAACAAATGGACAAGACAAATTATGTTAAATGCCATGAAAGTTAAAGGGAAATATGATAGAGATTAATGAGACTGATGGGGTGGTTAGGAAAGGTCTCTATGGCCAGAGGAGAAATGGCCAGAAGTTAGGTTGGCTCTAGAAAGTATGAGTCAGTGCTTGAAACTTCCAATACAAATCTCCTGACTCAGGATAACAAAAATGGCTGACTTCCTTTTTGGAGAAGATTCTACAAAACATCCAGCTACATTAATATCAAAATGTCAAAGGAATAAAATCCTGAACGGATTTCAGAGATTGTCAGGTTATACATACAAAGATAGACAGAAAGGAGGCAAGTGCTTTTTAGAGTAGGAAGGCAAGGTTGAAAGTGCAGAAGACTTTTTTTAATAAGGTGGGGGTGGGTGGAGCTCTGTAGGTTCTATGGGCCTCAGATACACCTAAAGAAGCTCAGGAACTCACCAGAGAACATTTTGCCAAAGATGTGACAGGAATCTTGGCACTACTGCCAAGACCACATAACTCTGAGCAGCATGTACACAGGTATAAACTGAAGACACAGGTCTTTTCCCAAGTACTCTGTTTCACCCAAGAGTGGCATTCCCATTATTTCATAGGTAAGGAAGTCAACAATGACTAAGATTTAATTTCTAGTTTCCCATTAGTAAAGGGTGGGACAAGTCAAAGCTAATTTTATTATTATAGTCATTCATTTCATACCCAAGTTGGTGAAGTAATTTTTTTGTGTGAAGCAAATTCTTAATATCACAATAATTTTTAAAAGATTTATTTGATTTATTTATGCATATAAGAGCTGGGGTGTAAGCCAGAGGTGCAGGGGGTGAGAGGATTCACCAGAGACAGAGTGGGGAGCAGAACAGGTGGATCTACTGAAATACACTGCTGAGGGGTGCAGCAGGGGAGACAGGGGAGGTCTGCTGTGCCACATGGGTTAGCTCCCTGGCCAAGGATCAAACTCATGCTGCAGTGGCTGCTGATAGCTTGGTAGTGCCAAGACTTAACCCCTTGCACTGCCAGGGAGGCCCCTCCTCACAGCAATTTTTTTTTTTAATTTTTTTTAATAGAGGCATGTTTTATTTATTTGTTTGTTTGTTTGGTTTGTTTATACATGCACTGGGTACAGTCAGAAGCGCGGGTGGGTGAGAGAATTCACCAGAGCCAGAGCGAGGAGCAGAGCAGGCAGAAGGACCTAAGTACACTGCTGAGGGGAGCAGCGGGCGGCAGGAGAGGTCTGCGCGCCATGTGGGACCCTCCTCCAGTGGCCTGGGAGCAGCCAGGGATCGAACTGGCGCAGCAGAGGCCGCGGGCAGCTTCGCAACCCAGCGCTCAACCACTGCGCCACTGGGAAGGCCCCTCACAGCAATTTTTAAAGTCTCCCAATTTCTCAAATACATACAGCCAACCTGTCTTGTGTATTCAGTGTATCCCTGTAACTCAAAAACTATATTTTCAACTGCAAAGAAAAATTGATGATCTCTTTTTATCTATAAAGAGTACCACTGGCCAGAAAGTCATTCTTTCCTCCAGGCTCAAGTTACTCCAGAAGAGGATCCCTAAATGGAAACAGACACGTGGTCTGTAAGCAACAGTGTGGAAACTGTTGAAGGGATAATGACATTAATAGCTACCGTACTGAATGCTATTATATGTTGGGTACTTAATACTTCACACATATTAACTCAATTAATGAAGGAGATCCAATTACCTCTCCAGTTGGCTGTTAAGGGATCTTAAATGGAATGAAATAACATGTTCATGGTAGAGCTTGTAAAGCTGGACTTCCAACCCAGACATTGCATCTCCAGCTCCTTCAGTCTTCACCACTTTCTCCTACCTTCTCTAAAACAGGCTTTTTTTTATTAGTAATAATTGTTGAGGTTTATCATCTATACTTGGAGTCCATTATATTATGTCTTTACCAAAAAAAAAAAAAAAAAAAAAATGTGGGTTGACAAAGCCCCAAGGAGAGGTACACGGCGAGGGAAATACACCTATAGTTGTCTCAGACACAGGACCGGTTTCTGAACTCTACCAAACTTGCGAAGCAGAAGAGGCCCCGGCGGCACGTAATTCCCAGGAGTTGCGGACCCCGGGCCCCACTCCTGACCGCCCAGCCCCGGGGCCGCCTGAGCCGCCGCGCACACGCTGCCGCGCTCCCGCCAGCCGCTGCGGTTGCCACGCTCGGTGGGCGGGGCTGAGGCGTCGGGGGCGGGGCGGGCGGGGCGGGGCGGGGCTCCCGCGCGGGCCCCGCCTTCCCCATCGACTTGGGTGAACCGCCGCTGAGAGTGCGCCGGGGCGGTCGCCTCTCCGAGTCGCTTTCTCCGCTCTCTGTCCCGTCGTCAGCATGGCCCGTGAGTGTGCGGAGGGGCGGGGGGCGCAGCCGGCGAGCACCCCTAGCACAGAGCCTAGCTCCGAGGCGCGGCTGGTGGCAGGCGGAGGTTGGGTCAAGAGGCCCCTGGGTATGGCGCGGCGGGGCCAAGTCTTCTAATCCGCGGGGAGAGGGAAGGTTGACTCCGGTCGGGTCTGGAAGGTCTGTCAGGTACCGGCCCCGCTGGTGCGAGTTTACACACTAAAGAGCGTCTTCCCAGGAGGTGTACAAAGACCCGCCCTCGAAGAGGTCCTGGCCTGGGTGCTTCATAACTGGTCCCTAAAGTCGCAAGGCCTAATGATGTGAGGGAGCTCCGGCCGCCTTCTCCCCAGTTCTTTTGTTTGGCCCTTGCAGGTAATCCCTCTTAAGCATCTGCACTTGCTCCCTTACAGTGGAATTGTGCGAGGTGTGAGCTCGGTGAATTTTTCTCCACCCACACCCCTCAAAAGCCAGTACTTATTTTGGAATACTGGCTCACATTGACGACCGGAATGTCTGTTTTAAGAGATGTGGTATCTATGAACACCTTGACTGGTATGCTGATACTCTTAAGACCTTGAGTGGCTAAGCTGCCTCCCTGTCAGATGAGGAATGCCATCCACTGCTGCACTCTGCTGTTGACTTAACTTTAAAAAAGCAAACTTCACATGCATTTAAATAAGAGTCTTGGGGTGGAATTACTGATGTTTTTGGAGATGGGGAAAGAGCGTAACTGTTTGCCTTTGTAGGTGGAAATCAACGAGAACTTGCTCGTCAGAAAAACATGAAGAAATCCCAGGAAATAAGCAAGGGAAAAAGAAAAGAGGATAATCTAACCGCCTCTCAGAGAAAACAAAGGTGAGTGACACTAAAGGAATTCTCAGGTCACTGAAGTTTTCATTTTGGAGAAATGAAAAATAAAGCATTTTTTAGATCCTTTGTAGAACTGGCTCTAAGGATAGCAGTTGAGTAACTGTTGTGTGCAGGCATACTAAATCTGCAGTAACAACATAGGAAAGAGCCTTGATTTTGAAATTAGGCAGGCCTTGATTTTTATGTGGTTGGGGGGAAATTATTTAATTCTAAGCCTTTAATTTTTTTTTAATCTGAAACATGGGAATAATAACAGTTGGTGTGGAGCTCACAGCTTAATCCACAGCCAACGAAACACCTACGTATTGAAAATGATTGGCATTGAATAAATAGCCATTTAATATTTATTTTTAAAATATGGGTTTCATGGGCCATATAGCCCAGGTACTGTAGTTGCAGTTCACAGTTTATATGGCACTTGGAGGTTTATTTGGTATAATCTTCAATCACCTGCTATTTCTTGACTTAGAAGAACCTGATTTGCTTCGTAACAATTATGTCCTAGTCCTAGGTACTAGTTAGGAGATCTATAGTCTTCTTATAGTCCTCCTCTTTCAGGGAAAAAAATTTAAAGAAAATTAATTTTGTTGACAGTCAAAAATAATTGCCATTATTTCTATATGTAGCCAATGTCAGGTACCTTCCTCCCCCCCCACACATTCACATACATATTCCTAAGATCAGCCCTGAGATATATTGCTCTAATTTTTAAAAGGAGGTTTTTAGGTTATTTGCCCAAAGGTCATGGTAACAATAGAGATGGTATACAAATTAGACGGCCATAAGAGTCTTTCCATTTTTTGCCTTCCTGTGCTGTCTCAATCCATGGAAATGGGAAAACAAGAATGTTTATATCTTCTTTAAGTTATTTTCTAATACACTGAGTGGGTTATTTATAGATACAAATGAGAACTTAAAATCAGTTTTTCTTTAACAACTCACAGCCTTTTCCCCCATTATAGGGATTCTGAGATCATGCAACAAAAGCAGAAGGCAGCTAATGAGAAGAAGTGTATGCAAACAAGAGAAAAATGATGACTGGCTATTTGGAAAGCCTGGGTGCTACTGCCAACTTGGTGTATAATAACCTCTATGATCAAGATTTTGTAGAGTGAACAGTCATCCATAAGTAATACCTTACCCTTATAAAACTATTTTAAACCTCACCTCTTAGCTTGAGTTAGTATGATGTTTCAGAACCATCTTCAAAGAATAAAACACTAACCATGCATATGACGCATTGGTGAACATTATTTATCAATAGTGAACATTTTTATAAATTATTAGAGAATGTAATCAGATAATAGAATCTACTATATAAATCTGGAACCTCTGTCACAAACTTTCTTGTCTAATAGAATATAAGATCCATTTATCTAATCTTGATCTGTAATCAACTGATTTGCTTAAAGAATATATGATAGTACAAATACATGGAATAACAACTAAATGAACATAAAATGAATTCTCAGAGTTCTACTATCAACTTAAAATTTTCAGAATAAGTGCCTTTTAATGTACTTATTTTTTTTTAAAGATTTATTTTATTTATACAAGAACCGGGGTACAGGCCAGTAGCACGGGAGGGTAAGAGGACTCACCAGAGACAGAGCAGGGAACACAACAGGCAGACTGATGAAATACACTGCTGAGGGGAGCAGCGGGCGAGACAGGAGAGATCTGCTTGCCTTAATGTACTTATTTTTTAAAGCAGTATTAAATTCACAGCAAAATTGAGATCTCCCATACACTGCTGCTCCCTACATACATCTCCTTCCCCTACCAATCATACATTTGTTACCATTGGTGAACATTATTATCACAGAAAGATGAATTTGTGTAGCCTGAGTTTTTATTTTTATGCTTTATTTGCTTTTTGAAAAATGAATTTCCATGTTTACAATATAGTGGGTTGTGGAAAATCTTTGGACTTAAACAATCCTATAAATTTAGGGAAAACTAGTTTCCAAAAGAACATGGATATGGGCCTCCCTGGTGGCCTAGGGGTTAAGTCTCAGCATTATCACTGCTGCAGCTTGCCGGGGAGCAAACCCACAAGGTGCAGCAGACCTCTCCTGTCTCACTTGCTGCTCCTCTCAGCAGTGTATTTCAGTAGATCCATCTGCTCTGCTCCCCATTCTGTCTCTGGTGAATCACCCCCCTGCACCTCTGGCCTACACCCCAGCTCTTCTATACAAAAATAAATAAATAAGGGCCTCCCCTGTGGAGCAGGAAATTATCCACCAAACATAGCCTATTTTTGAAAAATAAGACTAGAAGGGAATTTTCATTACCAACATAATTTTCCTAACTTGTTAAAAATGTATTTTGTTTCCCATCCCTGTTTTTTTTTTTTTTAAAAAAAAGATTTATTTATGCATACAAGAACTGAAGTACAGGCCAGAGGTGTGAAGAGTGAGAGGATTCACCAGAGACAGAGTGAGGAACAGAACAGGCAAATTGACTGAAATATACTGCTGAGGGGAGAATCAGACAAATCAGGAAAGGTCTGCTGCGCCATGTGGGTAACTCCCTGGCCAGGGATCGAACTTGTGCTGCAGTGGCTGCGGATAGCTTCATAGATTGTGTCTTAACACTTTGTGCCACCAGGGAGGCCCCTGCCCCTGTTTTTATAGAAGAAAAGAGTTTACCCACTTCTAAAAATTTATTCTTTTACATGATAGTTTCTATTTCTATTTAGGTTTTTTTTTTTTTTTTTTTCAATTTTTTTTCAATTTTATTTATTTTTGCGTAGAAGAACTGGGATTTAGGCCAGAGATGCAGAGGGTGAGAGGATTTACCAGCGACAGAGTGGGGAACAGAACAGGCAGACTGACTAAAATACACTTCTGAGGGGAGCAGTGGGCAAGACAGGAGAGGTCTTCTGTGCCATGTGGGTAGCTCCCTGGAATGGAGCTCAGTCCATAGAGGTGATAACGCTAAGACTTAACCCCTAGGCTGCCAGGCTCCCTCTATTTCATCTTGTAAGGAGATCTTTTCCACTTAAAGCTGTTGTCCTCCTACTACCTTTATTTTTAAGTCTATGATCTATTTCAAAACTATTGAAAGTTAAAAAGTCTATACCCCACAAAGAAGATGTGTGTCAAATCATATTATACACCTTAAATATACACAACTTTATCAAGTATAGTGCAATAAAAATGGGTAGAGAAAAACATATCCCTAAAATTGAAAACCTAGTATAAAACTGAAAGATTATGAGATTTGTATATTTTACTGTCTATATCAGGATTTTAGGAGTAATGTAAACTAAGGAGTATGTCAGCTCCATAAGGTAAGTCCCTTATTGTTTGGTGATAGGGGCCTACAAAATAATCCCAGAATTCGGGCCTCCCTTGCAGCCTCAGGGTTAAGTCTCAGTGCTATTACCACTATGGTCTGAGCTCCCAGCCACATATGGCGAAGCAGACCTCTCCTGTCTTGCCTGCTGCTCACCTTAGCAGTGTATTTCAGTCAGTCCTCCTGGTCTGCTCTCCACTCTGTCTCTGGTGAGTCCTCTCCTTGCACCTCTAGCCTACACCCCAATTCTTCTATCCAAAAAAACAAACAAACCAACCCAGAAGTCAATAGAAAAATATTTGGTCTATTATTTTAATAAAATCAACCAGTATAAATATCTATCAAAAATGAGTAAAAACAGGGCTTCCCCTGGTGGCGCAGCAGTTGAGCGCTGGGCTGTGAAGCTGCCTGCAGCCTCTGCAGCGCCAGTTCGATCCCAGGCCACTGGGCGAGGGTCCCACATGGCGCGCAGAGCTCTCCTACTGTGCCCGCTGCTCCCCTCAGCAGTGTTTTTTGTCGGTCTGCCTGTTCTGTTCCCCGTTCTGGCTCTGGTGAATTCTCTCACCCTCCCGCGCTTCTGACTGTACCCAGTCCTTATTTAAATAAATAAATAAATAAATCTTTTTAAAAAAATGAGTAAAAACATTTATTAAACTGCCTCCTACAACTCTGTCTGCTAAAATGCTTCTATATAATAATCATGTATTAGAATATATTACCTTTAGAGATGGCCAAGTCATAAAAACATCAGTGAGAAGGAAAGAACAACTATAAGTTGCTCAAATACACTTCTCAATAAATTTTAGAAAGATTGAAATCTCTCAAGTTTTTCCTTATAACTTTGTTTTTTAAAGATGAATTTAGGGGCCTCCCCGGTGGCGCAGCGGTTGAGCGCTGGGTTGCGAAGCTGCCCGCGGCCTCTGTGGCGCCGGTTCAATCCCCGGCTGCTCCCTGGCCACCGGAGGAGGATCCCACATGGTGCGCAGACCTCTCCTGCCACCCGCTGCTCCCCTCAGCAGTGTACTTCAGTCCTTCTGCCTGCTCTGCTTCCCACTCTGGCTCTGGTGAATTCTCTCACCCTCCCGCGCTTCTGACTGTACCCAGTGCATGTATAAACAAAACAAACAAACAAATATAATTAATAAATAAACATGCCTCTATTTAAAAAAAAAAAAAAGTTTTAAAAAAAAAAATAAAGATGAATTTAGGGGCCTCCATGGTGGTGCAAGGGGTTAAGACGCAGCACTGTGAGGCTATCCGCAGCCACTGCAGCTGTCTGCAGCCACTGCAGCACAAGTTCGATCCCCGACCGGGGAGGTGACCCACATGGCCAGCCGACCTTTCCTGTCTTGCCCGCTGCTCCCCTCAGCAATGTATTTCAGTCATTCCGCCTGTTCTGCTCCCCACTCTGTCTCTGGTGAATCCTCTCACCCCCCCCACACCTGGCCTGTACCCCAATTCTTGTATACATAAATCAGAGCAAGTGTGGGATCCAGATGTTCCATGGACAATGAGAACACACGCCTCAGCATCATCCTCAGATGCACCTCAGAACAGGTGAACCTGTCAGGGAAGGCTGATGGAGCCCAAACAAAGCATTCAAGAGGTGACAGAAGCCAACACACATTGTCCTAGGACAAAAAAGGAAAGTACAGGCCCTTGGGCACTTACGTCTCCGTGGTCACTTCCATGGCTTGAATCTACCTGTATGTGGTCTGCTGGAATGAAAGAGCTGCTGAAGTTGCCATTCTGGCGATGCAGTTCAACATTCTCAGCTGAACTGAGTCCATCAGGCCTGGCCAATTATCTATTGGCCTCTGGGAGGCACCTCTTCAGTGAAGCAAGAGGAGGATGCTTCATCCCGTGGGAGATGGGTCCATACCGCGAGGCATGACCAGGAATGCCTGGGGAACAGCTGATGAATCTGTCACCTCCCAGAGAATGCTCAGAGGACACCTCGTGAACACACAAGGGGCAAAGGTCAGAAGCTTGACTCTACCTTCAAACCTTGAGCCTTGAAACTGGGCTCTAAATCTAATTCGGATTCACAGACTCCCTCCTCCCAAAGTCTAGATCACCTGATCATCCGTTCTTTCTGCCTAACCCTCCTCTTTATGTTCTCCAGCCCAGAGTCACTGGCTCTGAAAGAGCTCATTGAACACAAAGGCCGGGTTCAGCTTTCGTGGCAGCGTTCTGCTGAAGTTCACTCGCGTTTCTGTGACAGTGCGGCGCTGCCTGACACCACAGCCGGCCAGAGCTCTGGGGCGGCCTAAGGTATGTCAGAGTCTGCCCTTCCCTTGTTACCAGAGAACTGGTGTGACTTCCAAAGCCAAGCACAGGGTCAGAGTCCCCAAAGCAAGAAAAGTTTCTTCTGCCTGCTTGTGCCCATGCAGGCGCGTCTCTCAGCCAACCTGGCGCCTCCGCCAAGGTGGGAGAAGCGGCTCCTCACTCACGAACCGCGACCGACCGCCATCCGTGAGTGACGGGGCGGTAGTCTCTTTTGGAGCCTGCCCCCGCCAGGGCAGCTCTGTCAGCGTGCTGGTGCCTGGGCCGGCGCCCTGCCCTCTCCTCTCCATCTCTAGAATAAACCTGCCTGCCCTCTTGGATGGAGAAAGAGTTGGCGATAGAGATAGAGGTGAAACACCCATCCACCTGTCTATCATGTGGTTCTAATGAAAGCCTCCTCCGCAGGCCGCGGGGCATGCTGCAAAAGCCACGGCCAACACCCGTGGGCTCAGGGGCCTCTGCAAGGGGTCTGCTGAGACACGGTCGAGGCCACGGCTGACGGCGCCCGCTCTGTCGCGAGCGGGACTGGACGTTCTGGGCTGAGCGAAAGAGGGAAGATCCCAGACGTCCGCGTGGGGCAGGAGAGCCCACGACGTGCGTTCGCAGAGCCCAGGCGAGCGCGTCCTCCACGCAGCACGCGCTGAAGAGTCGCCCCCGACGGGGAGGCCGGCGGGACGGAGCAGAGAGGGGGCCACGCGCAGCGCTGCTCATTGTGTCTCCAGGGCCCGCGATCCCCAGACAGGCCTTTCGGGAACGGGGCCGCGGCTTCCTGCCCTCTCCGTGGACGCTCCTTTTGGAGGCGACATGGGCTCTGGGGCTCCCGGTGATGACCGGCGCGGCGGGCGCGGGCT